GGGGCAGTTGCGGAACTTCTTCGACGGATTTGGGCTTCCTGGCAGAAGGCTCAGAGTCATTTGCATTCATGTCTTAGGTCAGGTCTTGGAGAAGCCAAACCTTAAAAAGCATGCCCGTGATAACAAGGTGGTAGGACCCTGCCTTCGGTGCTTAAGCCATCCGAAGCAGCCCCCACCAACGAGAATCGCGGTGAGCGTCTCCATGGCAAGCGCAGGGCTTAACCGCAATTTACCAAGAAGTTTCTGAACTCTGAAGCATCCCGTGGCTTCGCAGACAGCTTCTTTGAACTATGCTATGCAGTTGTGCGAACATGGCTTGAGCAAGTGTCCAGGAAGAAATCACGAGGATGCCAAGAAGATGTGGCGATGGTTGCAACAACACTGAACCCGATGATCAATGACGAATGCGAGGAGGATGCTGCTGATGATGACGCCAATGTGTTGGGAGCATGACAAATTTGTGAGTGCCTGTGCATCCCAGAAGCAGATGCATCAATTCTCGGCTGAAATGCGAAGGTTTTGGCGTGAGGGAAGTCGGCGTGCTTACTTGGGCTCCCTGCCTTCACGCCGGTCCGGTGCTAGTGCCTCTCCCACGAGATACTTTCTGCAGGCTGCTCGAACATTTGGAGGTCTGCTTTGCTCAATTCAGGCACTTTCTTCGAAAGATGCCATTCGAACACCGCATCGCATGGCATACAGCAAATTAGCCGCTTACTTCACAGCGTAAGTATGTCAGTGTCCTGTCAAGCGATCTTGGACAACAGCCGTGGCCCCATCTTGGACAGGTGCCTATTGCTGTCACTCCTGTCTCCGATCTACACATGCAGACATATGTAGGAACAGGAAGCAGTATTTTCTCGAAAACGATCAACAGCATCGTGTGGAAGACGGGTGCACTGGAGAGTTAGCCCTGGGCTGCAGGCAGCAATCTTGCCGTCTGAGCAATAATAGTCCATATGCCGCTTCTGCGCTTGGCCCCGTGGGAGATTCTCTGCTCATCTCAGGCTCCTGAGATTTTGGACCATGATCCTCTTCACGGTGCCGTTCTTCGCCGATTCCGGGCCATGGGTGCATCCGTGGGCCCCGTCGTAGCGGTTGTTGAGCTGCACGAAAGGTGCGGTCTTGGCTTAGCCAGTAGCCAGTTTGGGAAAAGCTCTATCAGGAAGCAGCCTTGGTAGCACGTGACGGCACGTGTCAGAACCAGCTTCCAGGTGCACTAGACAGGCTGACATGCTGTACTCGAAGAAAACGCTCTCGCTCTAAGCTATGGCAGCCGTGGAGCTGCGGGTGGTCTTGCCGCTCCCACTCCCAGTCTGCGGGTGTCAGACTCCTGCAACACAGGTTAGCCATGCGAAGTTGCGGATGTTTAGCGTCGGACAGCCTTCCTCAGGTCCTTGCTCAGTTCGAGTATGAGTCTGGTGATGTGAGATCTTGATCTGGGATCTTTACAGGTTTGCATGCCCATTCGTACCTGCGTTGACAGAGAGTGGGATGTAAACCCTTTATCCCAAGCTTTGCTTCGTGTGCAGGTCCTGGTGTTGTTGACGACACCTGCAACTCGCTCAAGGAAGCCCTCGGTGGAGTAGACTTCCCTGCCGACAGTATCACAATCCCTTATTGCAGATTGCCTTTAGCGTTTAGGTTGATGGTGGTGGTGCTGGTGGAGGTAGTGGTTGTTGCTGTCGGTGGTGGTGCTGGTGCTGGTGCTGGTGCGGGTGCTGCTGGTGGTGGTGGTGGTGGTGGTGGGGTCACATGTACGTTTCAGCTCGTCTGCTGTTCTGCTTCTTCTTTTGGAGCTTGGCTGGGGACGGCTGGGTGTCAGAGGAGTTGGGGTTTCCCTAAGCACCTCTGGGAGTATCCAGCTCACACATGTTACTTTCGGAGGGACTCATGAAAGGGAAGCTTTTCACAGCACTGTTCTCTCCTTCGGTGCGGAACTGTGTTGATAGAACCTGAATCTAAGCACCCACGACGTGCCTCTCCTGGTATGGGCTTATGTGTCCACGACGTGTTGCTGGAACAGCGCTGGCGGAAAGATTCAGAAGGCTTCACAGCACAGCCCGGGAAACCTACTTTTGAAACACGAGGGCAGCGGCAGGCGCCTTCCCGGATACTCGCCCACGGTATAGAACTTCCGAATTGTCGTGTTCAACGTATCTGCCTCCCAGATTTTCATCGTCGCTGGGCTTTAATGGTATCGCACCATGGGATTAGCATTTCCGACGTGCTCCTCATCGTCATGATCTGAACTCTGCGGAAACTCGCAAGGAAGGATGGTTAGTTGGTTGGTTGGTTGTAAGTCCAGATGGACAGCTTGTGGGCACAAGCGGTAAAATTAGTGTTCCATGAACAGCCAGACCAGAAGCATGAAATCTGTTCGGAGAATTCCGATGCAAGCTTGTACTTCTCTGGGCCTGACACAGACTACCCTGAAGGTCGCCTAAAACTATACAGTTCGATGTAGAAATCTGCCATGCAATCCGATCATCCCATATGTGCCTGCCCGTAGACAGAGTCGTAGGCCGCGCGAATCTTCCGGAAAGTCTCAGCTAAAGCCTTGTGCGCGGGCCCTCCCTTGACGATCTACAGTACCCCGAATGTCAGAGCATCTCAAACGGATAGACCCCAAAGTCAATCAACATGCAGACGTACGTGTGTGTGTGTGTGTGTGCATGTGCATGCGTGTATGGATGTGTGGATGGATGGATGTATGCATGCCTGCCTGCCTGGGTGAGTGCCTGCGTGGATGGATGCATTGATGAAGGGATGTGCGTACGTATGTCCCTCTCTTGGCCTCTTGGTATGTATGTATGCATGCAGGCTGTACATGCGCCTGTATATCTGCATCTACGGAGTACGGCCGGACAAACAGATAGATAAATATGTACTCTGACAACTGAGCACCTTAACACATGTATAATTGCTCTGCTATACCCAAAACCCCTATTTTGCTTATGAAGGCGCCTTTATTATGTCATATGTCATATATGTGTATCATGCTGCAAGGGTCCAGGCATGTGATGCGTTTGTGCACACCGCTTCGATGCGGCGCCTGGAAGTCGAGAGGATCCACGGTATATGCGAAGGGCTCCGGTACCTTCGGGTTCAGGGTTTGGGGCTCGAGCTTATTGTTTCGGGTTGAGGGTGCAGTGTCTGGGCTAGAAGCTGACCACCGGACGAATTCTGCAGGGACTTCTGCAAAGTTGCACCTTTCGCGAGCCTGAATCTGAAAAGGCTTGCTTTAGTTCGAAGGCTCAAGCCTTAAATCTTCGCGATTCTGCAACGATGCACAGCCCAAGGTCGCGGTGCTTTCTGTTGAGCTTGGCTCTCATCTTCTGAACTTGATTCGGGTTAGGGAAGCTAGAGCAGCTGGAGATAGCTGGAGTCTCAACCGTTCAAGTTCCAGCAGTGGGTCTTCAAACCACTGCGCAGTTAAGAGACGAGCTTCCCAAGCCTTCTCCACAGCGGATTTTCCCGAAAACTGCAGCCCTAGCGCGCGAGGCTGAGGGCTTTCGTTAGTCGGTAATTTCTCGAATCCTCTTCTTTCTCGTTGTCCAAACTGGCACTCTAACCCTTAGTGCTTTCTCAAGCTGCGTCCATGTGCCCCAATGCGGCGTGCCTGCTCCAAGAATGGATGCTGAGAGGTCCACTTCTGAGTGATGGGCTTGTTTTGCCTGGCTGGTGTCAGCATCTTCACTTTCTGTACTAGGTTCGTGTACACTGCAATCATAGCATGATTGGCAATGGAGGTCATGGCGAGAATACTTGGAATCATGGAAGACGTGGCGCTACAGTATCGCCAATACGGCGAGCGATGCAACAAATAATGGAGTATATATACCTATAAAGACAAGAAGCCGGAATTTTGATTAGGGAAAAGAGACACACTAAAGGACACGACGATGAGGACAATATTGATGGCGTTGCTGGCGAACAGGTCAGCGGCAGTCGATTTGTCAAATACGGCCGCTGATTGCAGGTAAGAATGCTTCGGTCGATCAGACGGATAAGAAAGAGAATGACGAGTATCATCGATCGTATCACAGAGTATTCTTGACATTCATCCGCCATGAACATTGTATATCTAAGGTCAACAGTGGCACTATTCATGCAAGGGCAACTCCGATAGGCGTGAAATACACACGGACATATGATGTTCATTCGCACTGCGTGGTAATTCATGGATTCTGGATACATTGGTGAGGCTGGTGATGTTTACCGTCACAGTGACGACCACCGACACAAAATAATCGCTGGAGCGCATGCCTCCTGTCAGGTGAAGGACACTAAATAGGGCTGCGCACGTGCTATGTTCAGTGAGATGATCACAGGAATGACATTCGTAGTATCGCAATGTTGTGTGCGATCACGACAAACCGGGAGCATGAGAACAGTGGTAACACGAATTTGACAGGAGATATTTCGTGCCAGAATTGTGGTTGAACATAAGCACAACCGTAAGGATAACAGAAACGACATGGCAGTGATGCTTTGTCATGCAGCCTAGAACACGAATACAAGCCCAATGCACTTTGACACCTCCCATTACAAACCAGCTTACGGGTCTCAAAATCCCACTGAGATGGCAACACTGCATGAGGCTCCGGAAGCCAAGGTTGGATGACCTCTGGCATGCGATGCTTACGTCTGGGGTCTAGGGATGTTGGGGTTTAAGGTTTTGGGCTTCAGTTTTGTCTGTCTTGGTATATCATTCGGGCGTGAAGGCAGCATCTTTCGTCGTTTTTGCACATGCTTGAGTGCCCTGAGCGGCACCGGGAATGCACAGATTCTGGGGCATGTCCAGAATAGATGTGTGCATACATATGTATGTATACATATACACACCGACGCACATACATTCTATATACATATTATATCTATATATAGGTTGATATAGGTATAGGTATGGATATAGACAAAGATATACATATAGATAAAGAAAATAGATAGACACACACACACACATACGAATACATATGCACAGTATGCTACATAAGATATCACATCTCTCGCATCCGGAGCACCGAAACAGTCAGAAAGCGCGGAGTTCCAAGCTCCAGAACATCCATGGCCCTAAACCCGAAACCCCAAGCCTTACGCACTAACCCCCCTGCCTTGCACAAGGACCCAACTTCTAGGTCACTGGCATGGGTCCCGACACTCAAAGCTTCGAAGCACGAGGGTGCTATCAGCGGCTCGCCTGCCACAAGGAAGAGGCACGTGCAATGTAGGATTTTTTTTAAGCACCCTTTTCCACCAGCAGATCCAGTAGAATCCACCCGAAGGCAGAAAGTGCATGAGCTGAAATAGGCATTTCCTATTCACAAGCTCAGCAACGACAAAGCAGCCCCTAAGCATCAGGAACTAGTCTTCAGGCGTCAGGTATCAGGGTTTAAAGTTCAGGATCTACAAGGTTGGCGGTTGTATGCATGGAAACCTAGCATGGAAACTAGACCCACTCAGTTCCCACATAAATGAGCTTTAGTATCAACGTCGATTTCTGTGGTTTGCAGCCCGATTGCTAGGATACCATTCCGCTGGCAATACCAATGAAGATTGAAGTACTTGATGGGTACAAGTAACTAACATGGTCGTAGTCATCGGTTAGCAGTAACAACTATGCACAGCGATGCTACAACCTTTTGGTATGCACACTCACATGTAGACGTAGAGAGATTTATGCAGATGCGCCAACACCTACCAGTGGACAGGCAATGTTCAGGATGGATGGACAGACCTCAGAGTTTTGTTTGTAATGAGGATCAACTAACACAAAAGACTACTCCCTACAGCCCTAAATCCTGAATCTTGCTCTTTCGGGATCCGGGCCTACACCCAGGTACACCGCCGAGCTTTGCAAGAGATCCTTGAAGGAGGCCGGGGACCTGCACCAAAGGGATATCTCAGGTCTTAGCTTTACTGTGGGTCATCCTTGTTTGGTTTCCATGTTCATGAACCACATGTAAGCATTCGTCAGTACTTGTGGTTCTGCGCGCGGTTGCGATGATACATATTCATCCTGTTATTTTTGGCGCTGGCGCCGTGTTCCAGAATAAGTCGGATTGCTTTGTGTGTTGTGGTCATTGCTTCTACAACCACGTTTCATAGTTCTTGCCCTTGATGCTCGATGCGTTTGGAAATTTAAGGGCTCCGCTGCGCCTTTGAGGCTTCAGGGCTTCAGGGTAAGTTGGGGTTCAGGAGTCTGAGCTTCCGGTGGAGGGGGAGAGGGTGTGAAAGCTTTCTGCTGTGGATCATCAACCGAATGCAAGTCGCGAGGAGGAATCTTATGATGTTTTCCACTAGTCATAGGCGTATCGCGAGGACTTCTGGTGAAATCCAACTACTGCCGGACGTGCGCAAAGCGGGATTTTCAATGACGCCTTCTCACTGCTGAGTTCGGTTCAGTCTGCCCTGCCCCCTTATCGTGACTCCATCGTTGAGGGGGAGACCTTGAACTCTGTAGCATCCAAGCTTTGCCTCATCCTGAACTCGGCAAGCTTGAAGTCTCAAGCCGATCCCAAGATCCCTCCTACCTCAAGCAGCCAACATCACGAATTCTGGAACCGTCACATATCCGAAACCTATACCCTCCGCAGCTCTGAACTTCCTAAACGCCGAAAACCTCAGCAGTCCCAAAGATCCTAACATTTATCTGCCAAATCCCAAACTCGAATTAAACCATCGAATCCTAAACCCCAAGCTCTCAACAGGGCTCCGGGCTGAACGTTGCGAATATCGATTTCGGGGCAGCAAGACTTCAAGATCTTCTCGGTCCCGAAGGTATCCTTCCAACCATTGGAAGCCCCACTTCTTCTCCACTTGGGCTGGGATGTAGGGATTCTTTGATTCAGCTGTTAAGTAAGGCTTTCTGGGCTTCGGATCCACCTAAGAGTTCAGGACTTCGGGTTGGTGGGGCCGGCGTGGTTTTGGAATTCGTTATTTGACCTCCGGAAGGACTTTCGTGCCGTCTCTTCTTATCGTAGTTTGCACGTCTTCATGCAACCTGCCCCACACAGCCGGAAACCTATTGCAAATCTGAGCAGGTCTTCCAGATTCCAAGCAAACGTGACTCTAAGACTCTAAATCCGCATGGAACCCCCATGTTACACTCCAACTCAAGGCTTCAGCAATCGTCAAACTAAGGCTTGCGGGGGTGCAGGGCTGAAAGGCGCAACCGTCGGCTGCATCGTCCGTTTCGTTGCGACGTATCGACTGCTGAATCATCACAGTTACGGAGTTTGCGCCATAACACCTTACAAACCTCTTACGCAACTCTGCACAACTCCCACAGAATTCCCATCACTTGTCCATAGAAAGCCACAACTGCTCTCTGCTGACACCTGTTGTTAGGACCTGTTGGGAGTAAGATCCAGCAGTACCATGGCTCGTCATGCTTGCTGCACTCGACTATGAGCCAGGCTTGGCATCGGTATTGCCAGCATCAACATGAAGTACCACCAAGAAGCATTTCGGTCCTGCTTGTCTATCGTGGCAATCACCTTGCAGTACTTCGAATACTCGCGCAGCAAGGACAGGTGGTAAGTAGGCCAACCCAAAGACGCATTCAGCCAGGGGTGTACCTGCCACGGACAGCCCGACGTGTCAAGTTGTAAGAGAGAGCTTTCCCGAAGCCGCGACTGGGTGTTGTGATTTCTGCGACGTGGTCTTCCGATCATCTCTCCCACAAGAGCTAGTGCTGCAATTGGACTTTCAAAAACAACTGACTGTTTCGTGCATCACGTTCGGAGTGGCCTAGCGCCTGAAGTCTTCTTTTTGGGAGGGCCTTGCTCCACAGCACACATTGCCAGTTGCGATGGGGAAGCTCCTTTGCGGCATCTGAGTCCTTCAAGAAAGTGCGGGTGGGAAGAAAGGTGTTCAGCAAAGGCTCAATGTGATGAAATATCAGCATTTGCACAAATCGCGCGGCAATACATCCGACAGCTCAGCCGTTTCATGGTTTGGCATTTACATGTGCTGGAGTGGAACACGCCCCTGGCAACCCTGTCCAATCGTCCTCAGTGCGGCTGGCGACCGTGGCCGCTCCCAGAAAAGTATTTCGAGGGCTGAAGCCTGTCATCTAAGGCTGCTAGAGCTCAGCATTTGTATCCTTGCGAGAGTGACGGGCCGAGCACCTCTGCCAGCCTGCTCTGAACTCATGACGGTATTCCTTCAAAATAAAATCCCAACTCATAGCTGTTGTAAGTTGTTGCTGTTCACCCATTTGATCTCAGACTCGCCTATTCCTCCCTCTCAGCTGCCCTCTCTCTCCCTCCCTCCCTGCTTCCTCCCCCTCCCGCCCGGACTCCCGCCTGGTATCAAGGTCAGGAAGCGATGAAGCGGGTAGTCCTTCCAGCCAGAGTTTAGCAGAAGGTCGCAACCGACGCACAGGCAGGGCTGTTGCAGTGTCAGGTTTAGGGATGGCCCCACAGCGCCAAGCTTGAGCCCCGAATGATTAGACCCATATCCAGAAACAAGCAAAAGCCAGTTAGAGACAGTCCGTCAGGGGCCGGATGCGTCCCCAGAACTGGTGATCCAGCACCGTGCCGTCGGTCCCGAAGGTGTCCTGGCAGGTCTGCCGGGCCCGTCCCCGACTTTGCGAAAGGACTCAATGGCGGCCAGCTGCAGTCGGCGTCTCTTGTTTTTTGTATGCTATGTAGTTGATGATGACTGAATGTTTGTTTTTTGAGTCTGGAAGAATGCATGAATATCAAGACTGCACTGTGCTCCCCCCCCTGTTCGGTCCAAGAGCCAGGTCTTGTCAGAAGGAGGCATTGCATCCATCGACTTGCCTCCATGGACCTCGCACATCTGAGAAGCCATGCTCAACGGCTCAGCGGCTACTTCGGGATACTTCTGGGAATGCGGCCCCATCGTAGTCGGTGAAGATGAGATCGGTCTTGCGGTAGACATCTGCAGGGACTGTACTGGAGCTACGCGTCGCACGGCTTCACACTGACTCTCCGGTGCAACCTCCTACTTGGGCGAGAATCCCCTTCCGGACACCGCCTGGCATGGGAATGTGATGCCTTCCATAGGGCCAGAGGTCCACCTGCCAGAAAAGGTGCTCTGCTGCGTTCTGAAGAACCCCCGAAAGCGGCCCTGCACCGTGTGCTCTTGCATTCCAGACCACGACGACTAAGAGCCGGCGGGTATGCCAGAGGCAGAAGCATTGAGGTGGCGCACCGGCGGATCCTGGTGCCTCTAAGCGATCCTCCTTGTGTACAGTCGACCCGCCGCCGTGCGTACAGGGTTGGTTTGTGGCGTGCCGACGGCTCTTTCGAAGACTCGTGGCAGGCCAGCATGCAGTTGGGTAAAGTACGCTTAATGGGTCGACTTCACAAGAACCCAGGCTTGCCACTGAGACGGATCCAGAGTTGTCGGTGAGCCTCCCGACCGAATGCTCAGTACTGGTATTCACAATGTTATCCGAAACCGACGCCATACAGGTATGTAAATAAAGCACACCAGCAACCAGCAAACCGGCTGCATCTGCACTGGGCAAACAGGGCCTATCAGGGGCAATTTAGAGGCTCCTTGGTCTTTTGCTTGAAAGGCAGGGGGTTCAGTGCAAATCCAAGCCCATTCCGAGCTAGGTTAACAATCAGGCTTTGTCTGGGAACTGTTGAGAAACTCTTTGAATGATTTATGGAGACGAGCAAGGACCCTCAGTGTGGGGGAGGGAAGTCCTCAACCCATGGTTATGGTGATGGATACGTGTAGCAGGTATAAGCCCGAAACGCTGAACCCCAAGAGCCCCAAGCGGCATAAAATACCAGCCTTGATGCCGAGGGTGCAAAGCGCTGCGCAAAGATCGGCCCACCTTCGGCAATTGCTCTGAGCGGTTCTTGCTGCTACTGCTACGGGTCTTTGGAGTGCAGGCGGCCTCCTAAAGTTACACAAGCGGCAATGGCTCTTGCATTGTGCTTGGTGGCTTGTTGCTTTGAAGGGTCGGGAGTAGGATTTCAGAAACCGTCGTTGTGATGAAGATGGTAGCAACGACTTGTATTTCATAACTATCAGCCTGTCAGCAAGGTGGTTCTCATGGTTAGCAACTTGTAATGTCTAAGCTCATTGCATCCATACCTTGGCTACTCCTCTAATTGATGCATTACTCGTACCATAAACTCTTGCTCCTGCGCTTGCTATTGCTAGGGACGGTTGAGGTGTTGCAGATGCCATTGCAAGCGCCATTACAAGCTCAACACATATTAACAGCATTGTGGCCTGCACATGTGACTAAGACTCCGGCTGCGTATACTCACCCAAACTCCAGACGCGCTTCACCTTGCAGGAATCACATGGGGTGCAGGTCTGTGAGTCCGAGCTTCAGAATTGGGATTTGGCGTGGTAGCAGGATTGGGCTCTGCCTTCTGTTCTGCAAGTCCGAAAACTGGCACAGTCAGCCCAACTGTGCTTGCTCTAGGTTTCGACACAGCAGAACATGTAGTCGTCAGCCCTGACCCGAACTCTTGAACTCCTCTTCTGAGCCACGAAGCCCCGAAGTGGAGGTAGGCGGCTTGTGGCCAGACCAAGGCAAACGGCCCGTCATGAATACCTGCAAGAGTTCAAGGAGGTGCGCGCACTCAAATGACCGGGCTCTGAGTAAAAAAGAGTTCCTCGACACAGTGCAAGATTGGTTTGCTCTACGGGGATGAAACCGCTAGGGCTTGCCAGATTTGCCAACGTGATTTTGCAGAAAGAGCTGAAGCCCAGCAAGTTGACAAGTCAGTTGCCAGAGTAAGCTGGTGATATCATTGATATCAACCTTTCGTAAGTTTCGTCATGGCTTCGAACCTAGGTGCGGATAGATGGGACGCAGCCATGTAAGCAACACCTGTTTGACTGTTTGGCTGCATGTCGCACCTGGACCGAAGCCCTGAATCTTCAACGTCCCCCCCTGAGGCCCCGAACCCAAGCTCCCGTTCTGCAAGCAAGCAGCCGAGCTCTAACGGATAAACCTCCACCAAAGCAGGGCCGACACTTCCCGTCTACATCGCAGCTCACCTTGCTTGGAAGGCAGTATCGAGGTCCCGAGCCGCACCAGACTCGTGAGCCAAGCCTCTCCAATCCGGGGGTTTCGGAACTCACGTTGACATTCGTTAGCATTATATAACAAACTATACAAATTATATATGTACTCGCACAGGCTATGCGACAAGCTCCTACACGTCTTGCTGCCTGCTCTGCAACTGCTGCTTCTCCTCAGAATACTACGAACCCCAGTACTCAGTACGCTGTAGTAAGAGACGACAGAACTTAAGCAATAACTCTCTGGCCTCAAGGCGGGAGCAGATCCTGCTCCGCATGAACTGCACCTCCGGGTCTTCTTCAGCTGGGGAAAAAGGCATAACCAAGATCACAGCCATGAAAGGAAGCAGCTTTTTGAAGCTTAGTGTTTAGCAGAAGATCGCACAAAAGTGATCGCCCTGCACGCTCACCATGCCCGCCTGAATCTTGCCGTTCAGGAGCCTGGATGTTTTGGGCTCAAGGCTGTCAGGACATCTCAGAGCTACGTGCTCCCAAGTTCCTATACCCCAGGACTGGACCGACTTGACTCCATTCCTGAGTCCGTCCGGGCCCAAACAACCCTCCGGATGGGATCGCACCTCCGAAAGGCTTGCTCGGCTTGACCAATCGCAAGATCCAAGGCCTGGCATGTAGGGAAGACAAGTGCCCTGAGAAACGGGCACAGGGGGTTCCGGGAGTAGAACACTGCGGCTGAATGCAAGTGCTCGTTTGAGTTTGGGTGGGTCGTTGTGGGTTTCGTCGCTCCGGGCGCTTGTCTTGATCACGCTGATGCCCTCTCTGCGACGATGCTGAGCAGCAAGGCCATGTTTGTTGAGCCCCGCATTGCTTGAGCACCGGAGAGGTGCGTCAGTGGCCCTGAGTCAGCACCCTCATATATCTCACAGCCATGCGCAAGATCTACACAATGTGGAACATCTGCAGCTCATGGACACTTTGTGTTACTCTTCCCTCCTCGGATCATCT